TTATCGTTTGGTGATAGTGTGACCCTTTATATGCCCGCCCCTATTAACAGCCCACTGGCCTCTTCTTCTTCATTCTGTGAGTTCGCTGTCCCTTTTCCCTGTCAGATCTTCCTGCCGTCAGGTGATTAGTTTGACCCCAAGCGCTAGTTCTGCGACTTCCGCTCGATCTTTAGCCCTCCCCTCCCTCTGCCCTCTCTCTAACTCAACGCCTTGAAGGTTTGTAAATAGAGCGCGAAAATGGATAAATCTCTAGCTCACCTGCTGGCGCAGTTTCTCCACTCCCCCCCTTCCCCACTGAGCGATCGCCTGCTTCCTACGCCCCTGGTGTCTATCAGTTCATTCTTCCCTCCTTTATCTGGTACCCGTTGCCACACCACCTCCTGCCCCCCCCCTCCTCCCTAGCCTCCTGTTCATCCGGTTTTTTCTGTTGCCTAATTTTGCCTTTTGCCGCCCGTTTCTTTGGTAATGATTTTGGGGTGTTGCCGGCCCTCTGTGGAAGAGATGGTTTTTGAACCAATAAGAAAAAAAGTAATATCGATCTCCCTCTCTCTCTCGCTCTCTGTCATGCCTGGGAACAAAATCAACAGTCTGGCACTATCCTGTTAGGGACGCTGTCTTCCAAACTCCACGTAGATGTTTCATGCAACCCCTATCGAGTCGAAAACAACCAGTCTGCGGGCAGCGTTGGTGATAAAGCAAGAGAAGCGGGGATGGCCGCCTTCAGCGGACTTGCGGTTATCAGCCAGTTATACCCCAAAACCAGAGGGGGAGGATCTAGTGGCTTGATCGCTTCCGGTTATTCCCTGCGTTGGATCCTACACCACGCGAGCCATGCACTTGAGCTTTTTTCCTCTACGGTCGTGTGCATTATAATTCCAGCCGACCTGACGCTCCCCGACTGCACAGGGGTGGAACGCCAGCCCACCTTCGGTCTTGCTTCGGCGTCGCACGTGATGCCCATAGCGGCAGTCTGCAGGGGGATGAACGATCGGCATGCGGGAGGTAGCGTTGCAAAGATAAGCAGGATCCGAAAGGTCGTTTCTCGGTTGCCTGACGTCGTCGGCCTGCCAGCCCCGTTAGCTGGCCGCGGAGTCAGAGTAGGTCCTTCCGGCATGTGGTTGGGACACGCATGGTTCACAAGAGCGAAGGGATCTGGGCTTCCTCGTCCATGCGTGTAACACTTCTCTATCGCTCGTCGCTGTGCAAGCCGTGGACGCCACTCCTAAGACTCCTTTTTGACGCAACAATCGCAAATTTCGTTGCTGTCAATAGTGTACTTACCTGACTGGAACTCACACGATCTCCATCACGATATCTGACAAAATGCCAAGACCTACTTTGTGGATTTTATTTAACATGTGGTGGGTTCTGTTCATTTGGTGCGTAGCGATTCTCCTGTTGATTTTAAACCAAGCGTTTGGTACGGAGCTTCTGCTCCTAAGTCTCATCTAGTCTTGTTTGATTACGGCAGTGTGTGTTTCGAGTGTGTGGGTGGTGGTAGTCTTCAAAGCACTCTAAGGAAATTCGGTAGTCGTGACTAGGACTACGGTCCTGGTAAGGCAGGGGAATTGACCTCCTGAAGGCCACGATCCGATGCAACACGGTCCACTCACCGCGCCCTCTCATTCTTGCTATAGCGCAGTCGTGGTGTTTGTAAGGTCGAAATGCGTGAGGCAAGACCTTAAAAGGTAGCCTGAGACAGACGACAAGTGCACACATGAGGGCCAATAGGACGGCACGCACGCACGCACGCACCAGTCGATTCCCAGACTATTTACAGTCCTCGGGTTTGGCACTGTACACGCTGTCGTCGTCGTCGTGGCAGTTGTTTTGACTGTTTTATTTTCCTGGCTGCCCGTAGGAGTCGTGAATGATTTGGCCTGTCAGTTGGTGGCTTAGGTACACTCGGGAGAAGGAAGTGGCGTGATATCTGTTGAAAAGTAGTTTGGTAAACACACGCCAACTCATGCGGTCCCTGGTGTTTTCGATGGGGGGTAATCAATCCTTTTCTATGAAATTTGGTCTTTTGTGAACCTCTTAACCGAAGGACGGGAGTTCTCTAATATTCTGAAGGCTGTTACCTGCGAGAGTTTGTGAGAAGTCAGCGCACAGATCCACGCAATCTATTCCATCTAGGGTGTATTGATGTACATTTAAGATTAAGACGGCTCTAGCTCTACAGATTGTACGCACTACTAGGGAACGTGGGCAGTAATGTGAATCCGTTTAGGGTGTGGTTTGCAGACCCCAGGGAGGAAAATTGAAAATACCGTTTGTTACCCCGCCAGGAACAAACCCACGTACCTCGAGTTGACTGCGTTGACTGGCAAGCAGCTGGTTCTTCTCGTTGAGCTCAACCTGCAGCTGTTTGACCCTAGCCTCAGACTTCTCGATGCGTTCCGCAGCTGAGGCCTCTGCCGTTCGGGTCGCCTTGGCTGTGGCTCGGTGCATCTCCGACTGCATGTTGGACAGACCCTTCTCCAGGTTCTACAATGGCGAAGGAACAAAATGGGCACAGTAAGGCGTTGGCAGACTTCTGAATAAACACACGACAATACGGTAGTTACAGGCCGTGTGAGGACCACTCAGAGGCGGCCCTGCGGCCAGCTCTCCTCACGCGCGCTGTGTTGCGGTGGCAAGCTAAAGCTGATTGGTTGAACAAAAAGGATTTTAGCGGCTACTGGTATGTAGCCTTCAGGCATGTTACAGTTTCGTGAGGTAACAGATGAGAGATTGGTGTCAACAGAGGTCAAGTAGCAATGCATGAGTAGGTGTGTGTGTGCCAGGTGCATTCTGTGGGGAACAGCTCGTGTGTGGCACGCGTAGACGGGTCGTCTAGTTTTGTCGGCCACTGTGCCTGAGTTCGGCTGCGGTCGTCTTGACATTGTCTTGTCATCGGAGCAGGGTGGGGAGAGGAGGGGGTATGGAGGATGCAACGCAATTCCACCTCACGCGTAAGTGACCCATGCGGCGCCGACTCTGCGGGGTGCACAGTGGTCGTTCCCCTATGACGGTCGAACTCTCGATGCGCGCATGTGTGTGCTGTCCGACTTTGCGCTCCCACAAAGGGGTCCCGCTGTAGATGCGCGCTGGATCAGGACAGGGGGCCAGATTGGCTAACAGCACGCGTTAATCTGGCAGCGCGCACAGCCCGCCATACAGGCTCAGACATAGGCCTTCACGTCGCGTCAGCCATTGCCCCCCAATCCCACCAACAGTTGACTGTCAGGCTGGAACAGTCGACTGAAGCATGATGGCAGATGAAGAAGAGAATGAAGTTAACACCGGGGAATCCGTCTTTACGGCAAATCGTTGCATCATTCATTATCATGAATCTGACGCGACTGAACCTATCAGGACACGGTAAGAGTCTTGAATTGGTGGTCAGACCTCAGACAGTATGAGACAAGACCTCAAAAGGTAGCCTGAGATAGAGGACACGTGCAAGCACGAGGGCCAATAGGACGACACGCACGCACGCACCAGTCGATTCCCAGACTATTTTCAGTCCTCGGGTTTGGTACTATACACGCTGTCGTCGTCGTCGTCGTCGTCGTCGTCGTCGTCGTCGTCGTCGTCGTCGTCGTCGTCGTCGTCGTCGTCGTCGTCGTCGTGGCAGTTGTTTTGATTGTTTTTTTAACTGCTTGTAGGAGCCATGAATGAGCTGTTAGAGGGTGGCTTAGGTACACTCGGGAGAATGAAGTGGCGTATTATTTCGGATAAGGCTGGTCGTTTCTAATTTCCCCCAGTTGTTAAACTGAAGTTTGTTAAATTTTGTAGGCTCAGTTTAGCCAAAATGTTGCCGTTATTTATTCACTTGTCCTCAGAACTGTCTGTCCACAGTTACGGTTGCCGCAAGCAGCTAACAAACTCAGGAAACTATGGACTGGGTTCCAGTTAACGTCTCCGCTATGGCAGAGGTTTCCAGGTTCCATGTACAAAAATCGGATTGGAGTACACTTCTGTTTATTGCATCTGAAAGGCTTCCCAGCTGACAAGCTATCTACAGGCAGAATAACATTACCCACAAAGACAAGGGAGATTGGAATATCCCCTTCTAGCCCATTAGCCGTCATCAGCCAGCCATTACCAACCCCGAAGTGTGGAACACCCGAGGCTCGGTCTTGCGACCTGTTGGTTAGAAGTCCAACGCCTTTAACCACTGAGCCGCTGGCTCGTTGTCCTGCCGGTTGCGATCGCGAATATACAATGGTAGAGGGCCACTCACCGATCGTTCTTACAGAACTCACCCGTCCCTTTTTCCCCTATGGGCTCTCTCTCTGGAGTCCAACCAGCAGTCGCACAGCGGCGTATGATATAGGCAGAATAGCATTACCGGTCTTACAATCTTTGCGGTTGTGCGTGACTGAAGACGGCTAATAAGCCGGAAATGGCTATCTCAGTCTCCCTTGTCTTTGTCGGTAGTGGTTTTTTGCTTGTAATACGCGCCCCTGCGCGGTCTCAAGACACAAGGAGGGACCATTGAGTTCGATAACACGATCAGTGAACCCTCTCTACCATTACATTTGACATATATATTGAAAGGCAGGCATCCAACGAAATAAAATTTGAAGATGGTAGGTAGGCTGCAGTGAAAGTTCGACCATCGATTTCGATGATGTCCACCGTGTGCCCCACAGCTGCAGCAGCCGTGGGAGCAGGGACGGTGACTTGCGCAGGGGTTTATAGTGCCGGTAGACTTGCGCTGCATCTACCTACACTCTCTCCTCCGTCTCCCTAGCTCGGTGTCAAGACAGAGTCAAGAAGACCGGAGACGAGGGAGGCCGCAGGTGGATGGCTCGGACGTATCCTCACCTTGGCGGTCCCCCACACCCCCTGGTCCGCACAACAAATAACCAGGATTTCAACCAACACAACCGAGATTGGAGGCTGGCACGGCCGAAGCCGCACCTAGGCGTGCCGACAACGCCTGGCTCGGATCCCACACTGTGATAGGAGTGCCATAAAGGCCACATTAAAAAGGAGCCATTGCAGCCTGACTCTCAGACCCCCATCAGTCGAGGAGGAGGTCCAAGTTACCCCGTCAGTTGGCAACCTTCCAAGCCACGGCTTTTAGCGCACCGTGATAGCTTCAAGCGCGTCAGATTGTTTATAGTGAGGAGAAAGTGCGCTGAGTCGTCGACCTCACTCTCCCTTCCCATCCCCACACCGCAGCCGCTGTCCGAGCCAGTCAGGAGACTGCAGTAGGAAATGGGCGCGGTGGCTGGCATGATCGACTGACCATGACTGCGCGCGCCACGAGCACGACCTGGACCCCCATACACACAAACACCAGGATTTCACACAACGGGAGTTGAACGGCGTGTCTCTCACTTGCGTCAGAGTGCCGTGGAAGGTGCTGTTTCAGCCCGTTCCCAGCCCACCAGTCCGCCACTCCACACAACACACACACAGCGGGGCGGACTGCGTGGACCGAGTGGGGACGTCAATCAGCAGCCTTCCTATCCACGACGCTTGACTTGTCGGGATTGTCTCAGACTCAAGTCACCCGTGCAGCCGAAGCCGCATGGGGACCGAGTCGAGATGCACACTTCCCACTTGCATGTGAGGTGGCAGTTGGGTGCTTGCGGTGTGTGAGTGCTGATGTGTGGTGGTGGTGGTGGAGGCAGGGAGGGAGAGTGTTGTGGTGTGGTGTAGCCGGCGGTTGCCTACCGCAGGTCGTCGTGGATGCGCATGTGGCCGAATAGGCCCATGCGATGCGTGAAGGTGCGAGGGCAGTGTGGGCGGTGAAGGCGAGTGCGGTGGGTGTAGGTTGGTGCTCCTGGCACTGGTTCGCGAGTCTCTGTGCGATGGATTTGCAAGTGACTGACCAGGCCGATATGTGAGGTGAAGGTGCGGTCGCAGTGAGGGCAGGTGTAGTCCTGGTCCTCATCCCTGCAGTCGGAGGTTGGAGGGATGGTGTCTGTTGTTGTGTCATGGATGTGTGTGATGCTGCTGTGAGTGACGGCCACCACAGCGGCCGTGGTTGGTGCAGTGGGGCAGGAGGAGGAAGAGAAAGAGGCGGGGGAAGAAAGGAGGGGAGGAAGAAGAAGAAGAGGAGGAGGAGGAGGAGGGAGAGGAGAATGGGGAAAAGGAGGAGAAGGAGGAGGAAGGGGAGGAGGAGGAGGGGGGAGGAGGAGGAGGAGGGGAAGGACGGAAGCGGTGGTTCAGAAGAATTGTCAGAGTTAGTTGGCGGCGGAGAGGACGAGGAAGAGGCGGGCGGAGGGACGGCGGTTGGTGCGGTATGGGAGGTGCGGTTGGTCCGAAGGTGTCCAATGAGTCCAATTCGTGCCTGGAATGTCCGTTGACACCGAGAACACGTTGGAAGCGGTTGTGCGTCGGCGTTGCGGGCGGGGCGTGGCTGTGATTTCCGTGCGTCGCGTTTCACTTTGGCAGCGGCGATGCGGTTGGCCTCATAGATCGCAACGCCTGTCTTCACTTTCCTTCTCCAGGTCGGTCGGTCGAGGGCGAGCTCTTCCCAGTTGGTCGGATTAATTTGCAGATGCTTCAGGGAGGACTTCAGAGTATCCTTGTATCGACGAATTTGGCCTCCTTGGCGACGAGAGCCCGTCGCGAAATCTCCGTAGAAGATTCGTTTGGGTAGTCGCCCGTCGTGCATGCGCACCAGGTGGCCGCTCCAACGCAGCTGCATTTGTCTCAGCATGCTGTAGATGCTGAGGATTCCTGTCCGTTCCAGCACATCAGTGTCGGAGATTCGACCCTGCCAGTTCAGCTTCAGAATGCGACGGAGACAGCTAAGGTGAAAGTGCTTAAGTCGACGTGCTGCTTTGTGTATACTGTCCAAGTCTCCGTTCAGTACAGCAGCGTCGGCAGGATGACGGCCTTGTACATCTTCAGCTTCGTGCTGAGTTGGAGACCGTGACGATTCCAGACTGTGCTTTGGAGGCGGCCGAAGGCTTGACTGGCTTTCGAGATCCTGCGAGCGACTTCGTCATCGATTTTGGCGTTAAGGGAGAGGGTGCTGCCCAGGTACGGGAAGTTCTCCACCACTTGCAGTTGGGTTCCGTTCACGCTGATTTGCAGCGGCGCGTTGGGGGCTGTGGCTGAGTTGGGTGGCGGTTGATGCATGACCACTGTCTTTTGCGTGTTAATGACCAGACCGAAGTTCTCGCAGGCGGCGGAGAACAGGTCCATGCTCCGTTGCATCTGCTCTTCCGAGGTGGTGTTCAGGGCGCAGTCGTCGGCGAAGAGGAGTTCGTGAACGGTGGTTGTGAATACGCGCGATTGGAAGTGCATCCGCCGTTGATTCAGAAGGTGACCGTCTGTCCAATAGGCGATGCGGATCCCGGGGCGTTCATCACGGTAGGCGTCCATCAGCATGGCAGAAAACATAAGACTGAAGAGGGTAGGCGCCAGCACGCATCCCTGCTTCACTCCGTTGGTCACTGCGAATGCCTCCGAGACCGCTCCGTTGTCCGTGACTCGCGCCACCATACCGTCGTGCAGCTGACGCACCATCTGAGTGAATCGCTCCGGACAGCCGAATTTCTGCATGATCTTCCACAGTCCTTCACGATTCACTGTGTCGAAGGCTTTCGTCAGGTCCACGAAGGTAGAGTACAGGTGGGTCCGCATCTCCTGGCACTTCTCCTGAAGTTGGCGGGCGGCGAAGATCATATCCATGGTCACACGATGACGACGGAAGCCGCATTGGCTTTCCGGCAGAAGGCCCTGTTCCAGATGATTATTCAGACGATTGAGCAGGATGCGAGCGAAGATCTTCCCGACGATTTTCAGCAAGGAGATGCCGCGGTAATTGTCGCAGACTTGGCGGTTTCCTTTTCGCTTGTATAGGTGCACGATGGTTGCGTCTTTGAAATCTTGTGGGACTTCACCTTGACGCCGCATCTCCTGGAAGAGCGCAGTCAGGTGATCAATCAGTTGGGGACCTCCGTGCTTATAGACCTCAGCAGGGATTGCGTCCGATCCGGGTATTTCCCCGCTGGAGAGTTGCTGCACGGCCCTGATGGTTTCCTGGAGAGATGGCGGGAGGTCGAGGTCCACGTTGGTCTCCACTTGCGGCAGACGGGTGATGGCGGCGTTGGAGATGACGGAGGGGCGGTTGAGGACGCCTCGGAAATGCCCGGCCCATCTCTGTAGAATTTGTGCCTTCTCAGTCAGGAGAGAGCTACCGTCGGCGCTGAGGAGAGGAGCAGTGCCCTTCGTCGGCGGACCGTAGACAGCTTTGATCGCGGAAAAGAAGTTCTTCCACTCGTTGCGGTTCGCGTAGCCTTGGATCTCCTCAGCTTTGCTAGCAGTTCAGGCGTCCTGCATCTCGCGCAGTCGTTGCTGAAGGTGGCGGCGACTGCGGTAAAAGTCAGCTCTGTTGTCGTCAGTGGGGTGGTCTACGTAGGCTGTGTGTAGGCGGTTCTTCTCGGCAAACATATTTATGATGGCGGCGTCGTTGTCATCGAACCAGTCCTGGTGTTGGCGGCGTGCGCGACCGAGGACGGCGAGCGCCGTCGACTGGACCGTGTCTCGCAGTTGACACCAGCGGTTCTCCACGGAGGCGTTCTCGGCAGCGACGGCATCGGCGGCGACAGCGATAGGAAGGTTGTCTAGCCGTTGAGCTAGCTCATTGCTGAAATGGAGATGGTGAGCGGGCAAAGACAACAAAGCAATATTCAGCTTACCTGTGGGTTGCTTACCTTGTGGTCTCCTGCGAGGCTGTAGGCGAATACGCATCTTCGAGATGACGAGGCGATGGTCGGTCCACCCGTCAGCGCCCGCAATCGCCTTCATCACGAGCACGTCCCGCTGGTCTCGCCTCCGGACGAGGACATAGTCCAGCAGGTGCCACTGACGCGACCGAGTATGCCTCCAAGTGGCCTTCTCTCGCTCCGGCAGACAGAAGAACATGTTCGTCAGGATAAGGGGGTGTTCTGCGCAGGTGCGGAGCAGCAACAGACCATTGTCTTTGGAGTCGCGGAGACCGTGGGGACCCAGCACTCCTCTCCAGGCAGTATGGTCTGTGCCGACGCGGGCGTTGAAGTCACCAAGGACAATCAACTTGTTCGCCTTCGACACAGTCGCCAAGAGGGCGTGCAGGTCCTCGTTGAATTTGTCTCTGACGGCGTCGGGGTTGGTTATCGTTGGAGCGTAGGCGCTGATGATGGTGGCGAATTGGCCCCCCCGCCGGAGAGGCAGACGGAGGCTCATCAGGCGATCGTTGATGCCCTGCGGCAAACAGGGCAGTCGTCCCACGATATCGTTCCGGTTGGCGAAGGCGACACCCGCGTCTCGTCGCTCTGCCCTGGGCCGACCACTCCAGAAGAAGGTTAGTCGCCACCCACCTCCTCCAGTTGACCTTGTTCGGAGAATCGGGTCTCGCTGAGTGCGGCGATGTCCACCTTGTAGCGGGCCAGTTCTCGTGCCACTAGCGCCGTCCTCCGTTCCGGTCGGTTGCTCCTCGGATTGTCTAAGAGGGAACGAACAGTAGGCTGCAGTAATCTCTCATATACAACCTTATTAATTCCGCAGTACGAGTTTGACAGTTATTGCAGATTTACCTGAAAACGCTAACTTTTATAGCCAACCAAACGTGTAATGGGACTTTCCAGGTGGCGCAGCTCACATCGCCGCGTAGTACACACGGCGTCACCACGCCGGGAGACCATTGCGGGCCAGGCAGCATAAAACCAGACCTAGCCACTGACGTAGTCCCCCCCCACGACACAACGATACGCTGCTGCACTCTAGCAGTCTCTGATGATGAACTCCAGTTCAAGTTCGAAAGCTAAGGCCAATAAATCTACCGCCCCAGTGATCGTGCCTTCGCCTTCTTCTAAACTTAACTGTGTATTTCACAAATCTTAATTACAGCAGCCAGAACACCATCTAGGTGGCAAATTACGAAGCATTCGTCAGCAGATTTCTGCCTCTTTCGACGCCACCAGCAGGTATGGGACAGCAAATGTGAGAGCTTGTCCGACAGACCAGGGGAAAGTGAGACTGTTTCGAACCCCTCTTGCAGCACGCCCCAGGCTCAGCGGTCTCCCTCAAAGTTGGGTTGCCGTCCAGCTTCCTTGCAGGTTGTGGCCTAGTGACGGTTAATCAGTAATGGAGCTGTGCTTCCAACAGAGCGCTAGCGTATGCCGTCCCGTACCCAGGCTAGATGCGTGAGTGCCGCCACCGTGTGACCTTGACTATCGTCTCGCTGATTGGCTATCGCGTCGGCCAACCTGAACCTCGAAAGGGCGCTCCTCCTAAAAAGTGAAAACACACTACAGTCCGAGGGACGGGCAAGTTCAGTCAGGAGGGACAAACCCAAGCTAAAATAAATGGGTACTTACCTACAGGTTAAGAGTTAACTGGAATCCGAAACCCACACCATGGCTATGGCGTTCTCAACCAAACGCGCCGCTCCAGAAGGCTGCGTTTCGGTGTTTTTCCATCACTTTGCGGACACGGGACTGCGCTATATCAAGATGTTTAGGTGCCCAGCTAATAATGCGAACGACATTGCTCTCGCTATCGCGTTTTATGCCTAGATTTCTCTTACACTTATAAAGAACACAGTGGATGATGGTGGCCGCCACATTTCTAGGCCAAAACGAAGTTACTTGTCAAGTGGTCGTTGAGAGTCTGGGAGCTCAAAGCACTCTAGAACTGCATAACGTGATATAACTGAAGGGAGTCTAGGTGTTACTCATCAAGACCACCTCTCCTGACAATCAGAATCGTCACTGATTGGCTGGGAATGGGACCGCGAAAGTGCTTCTCTCTGTCTCCGATCATGAAATCTTACACGGATGCGTAGGCGCATACAACTAAACTTTCCATTCGGAGACTATTCAGCTTTTTCACGTTCTCGAAGTAGCTCACTCATAATCCTTTGATTTACCTCTGTAAAGCTACACTGTTTTACGCGTTCTCAAATGTAGTTTTTTGAGAAAATGTGTTGCAAAGGAAGTTTCCTCAGGGTTCCTTCCCATTTCGAGCGACTGTCGTGCCTCGGTTACTAATGGAATTTAACTTTATAAATATTCATTAAAATAGACTCACGCAAGCTAATTACTCTCTGGTTAGCTCACTCGAGACTGCGTGACGTCCTTTCTACGCGGGAAAGGCGTGTCTGCATGACAGAAACTCTGATGGCCGACAAGCAAATCAGTAAGAGGCAAGACTGTCGGATGAGCCGTGAGGCAGTTATCGTAGTGACCGCCCATCTGCTTATGCAGCCTTGCGAAGCCTTCTCCGAGTGCCAGACACAGACGGTAATAACCAGATAGAGAGGAAGTCGCTTTATTTTGAAATCATAAGTTCACAATTTCCAGGAAAAAATTGGCTCCATTCACTAAGGGCAGTAAATAAGTTAATAGATTATTCAAGTATCAAAGTTTAACTAAAAGAAACAATTATTATGAGGATAGTTCAAGTCTTAGCTTCCGTATTTCTATCTCTTCGCACGTAAGATAGCGCGCTAGGAATGGCAGTACAGAAGCTCGATAAGTCGATGTGCGACATGAAGTAAGTCGGAAGCTGCGGCGCATCGGGCGGGAAGACTTCGCAGAAATAAGATCATAATGCAAGGGATGGGCAACGTCATCTATAATCCGACCAGCAAATTGCTTAACCGCATTGAAATGCCGTTGGAAGATAGTGTCGATAAAAAACACCAGCAGCAGAAGAGAGCATTCGGAGGACTCGTTTTAAAATTAAAAGATCCTTTTTTAGCAAAGCAGGAAAAATGACAGGAGAGCAGTATAGGATAAGAGGAAGAATGCAGGCATCGATGAAGCGCCAGACTAAGGGTTGAGATGTGTGGTAGGAACGTAAACGACGCATGTAATAAAGAAGTTTACTAACTGTAGTAAATAGGGACTCAATTTGGAGGGAAAATGGAAGATTTGAGGACAAAGTAACGTCGAGGTACCTGAAAGAGGATACTTCGTTAGGAAGAATGTCAGAGGATTCAGAACTAGGAGAGGGCCGCAGTCGGAAAATACCCTAAAAGGATTTTTGGTTGTTCATTAGGAGACCATTTTCCTCCGTCCATACTAGGACATGGTTTAGGCCATCCTTTAGAGACTGAAGATGTGTTTGACTTTTGAGAGGGTGTCCAACAACCACATCATCAGCATACTTAAGCAAAAGACAGTCATTAGGGGACCTTAGAACGTCAGTGTGGAGGAAGAAAAGGTGAGGGGATAAAATGGAACCTTAAAGAACACCGCAGTCATTGGGAAGGATCGTAGATTTTCGTTTGCCAGATTGAACAAATTGTGTGCGGGAAGTAAAATAGTCGCTAAGCCAAGAGACGGATCAGTCTGGAGAAACGCACGGGGAGGTTTTAGTAAGAAGAAGAGGGCGCGGGACAGTATTTAAGCCGGAGGAGGAGTCAAGAAAAGCGCATGCGTACTCGCGGCAACCCTTGTCTAATTCTTTTAGAGTAGAGTGGACCACGAGAGCAGCAGCATATAAAGTACTCCGTTTGGCTTTGTACGCAAATTGTAGAGGGTTGGAAAAACTTGGAGAAAAAGGCTTTATAATATCTAGGGCAACTCTTTCAGCAATCCACAACCGACATTGGCAAAATTATGTACCCCAGCCCGCACGCCTAGTTACACAGGCTGTACTGTGGATCTACAAACCTGTGCTGACGGAGAACCATGCTGACCATCTGAGACCTGAGTCGTCCAGTAAATACTCCCTCGTGGAATCTGCCTCTTCTGAAGCTTTGCGAGTTCTTGAAAGTGTCCCGAGAGCCTCCTATGCATTCTCTTGGTGATCTAAACCTAAGCCGGATTGACGTTTCTTCTCATGCCTTCCAAACACATCAGAAGAAGAAACGGTTACATTTTCCAAGAAATTTTGGCTATCAAATAACTCTCTAGTGCCTCTAAAATCTTTGCAGCCTAGGAACTGTCAATTTCGCTCGGGTTTTTGCTTGAACACAAAAATACAACCAAACGCCATGCGTGGTAAAAACCTGAGAGTAAGAATAGACAGCGTGCTCGAAAACAAGGCACAGCGTGGGCGTTCACCCAGACCAGTTGGAGGCATACACGCGTCAGGAGATTTACAGACCTGGTTGCAGGTTCCACCTTTAGCTGAATTCTCAGCCTTACACCAGCTAGATATTATTATAAATGAATAAACAAATGAATTTTTTATTAAAGACCTTTTGGGGTCCCATGCTCTATAGGGCTCATGATTCTGGGTTTGGAGTAAAAAGAAGACATGAAACTTCGGGGCAAGATCGATCGGAAGACAAATGAGCTTTTATGAGAGTTCGCAGGTGTGCATATCTTCAACGGCTGTTGCTGAGACTTTTTGCCGTAGTAAGTCCTTCCTGTCTGGGGAGTCTCGGTCTCTGAGTCGATTGCAGTCAGCCTGGCATCGTATGAGAACCGACCACCCTTCCCTTTGCACTGTGCTCCTTCAAGATGCCTGTGCCACCAACGCTGCTAATTGCGTTACCCCCATTATCGCCATGGCGACAACTGATCGTTATGCACGCCCGCACACCCCCAATGTCCCATGGCATGGGTACAGACTGGTATTTTACGCGGTCTCCTCTCAGCGGTACAGAGCTACCCCTTGTCAAGATTTGATTTCTTCCTGACATTTTGCGGCAAACAAGGTGATTTCAACTGTCCTACCTTGGAGCCAAGCTCAGGTATGCTGTTTGCGTCCCTGAAAACTTCATTCCTATTGTCCGGCTTTGAGTTTAAACTTACCAGCTATTCCATGATCCATGTCCATCAGGCAGTCTCAAATCTAAAAGTTTCCTTGTTATTACTACGCTCATCGGTTCTACCCCAAAGTGAGTCACTGTAGGGACGAATGGTTGCGTTGCCGTTAAAAATATGTACTCAGTGGTTTACCAGGGAAAGGAGAAGAGACTGAGAGATTATTTCCGTTCCGTTTGGCCGCCCGGGCTTCAATGCGAATTAGACAAGAGTGGTTTCAGACTGGGACCAGTATGAATAAAATCGGAGGCTGGGATGCCGTGTTTCGCGCTGCGCATTCTCAACTGCGATTGGCGGTCCTCAAGGTCATGCTGGCGATACAAAACATAACATGCCACTTCGCATTGTAGGCAGACCTGATCGATAAATATCATTCACACCTTACGGCTAATACTCGAGTAGGCGTGGGGCGTAGCGCGATTTTGGCGAACTGCATTTTTAGTAATTTTTTATGGAGCTGCTCACTGATATAAGCAACCAAACTGTCAGAGTAGATGATTCGCACGTGCGCCGAAACCCACTATACAGATGACGGAAAGGGGAGGATTACACATTTGACTGAGAATCTGGAGCAGGCGGACTGTTCGGATAACGCTTGTCCACGGCTTCCCGAAGCATTTCTGTCCAGGTGACATCAGTGTGCGTTCAAACCTTCCACTCTTCGTGTGAAGCTCGTCACGACAAGAGTACTGGACGCGAAACACACTGTGCACTTGGCCTATATTGATTTCCGGAAGGCGTTCGACAGTGTCCCGCACCAACGTCTCCTGCACAAGTTGAGAATAATGGGCATCGGCGGCAAACTTCTCAACTGAATCGAAAACTTCCTCGTCGGCCGCTCCCAAATTGTCTGCGTAGAAAGACAGCAATCAAGGCGCACATTCACAGAGAGTGGAGTCCCACAAGGCTCGATGCTCGAACCAACCCTCTTTCTCTTGTTCATCGATGATTGTGTAGATGGGTTGGACTGTGATAGTGCCATGTTTGAGGATGACATAGAAATCTACAAAGTCATTCAGAATGCTGCCGATGAGACTAACTTCCAAGAAAATCTTTGTCGATTGGATGAGTGGTCATGCAGATGGCTCTTGTACTTCAATTTGAACAAATATACCATACTGCGTCTAGGAAATCAGACCCGTAGTTCGCGGCAATACCATCTGAAGGGAATGCCACTTCGAGAAGCAGAAACGCAGAAAGATCTCGGAGTTTGGGTTGTAGACAGCCTAAAGCCTTCTGCACAATGTTGTAAGGCGGCCAAGGCCGCAAATTCAATGCTACATGCCCTCAAGCGGGCATGCGCAATTTTCGATGGAGACTGCTTCTCCAAAGTCTTCGGCACGTTTGTAAGGCCGCATCTGGAATATGTAATTCAGGACTGGAGATCGCGGACGCATCAGAATTACAATCTGCTTGAAAGAGTGCAGAGGCGAGCAACAAAATTAATAAGATGTCAAGGTGTACTGCCATACGAGATCCGCTTAACTAACCTTAATCTCTATCCTCTGATTTATAGGCAGTTGCGCGGAGACTTGATACAAACTTTCCGTATCGTGCTTGGCTTGGACTGCGTCCTTCGGTGCGACGACTTTTTCCGACTTGGCACTTAAACTAACCTCCGTGAACATCCCTTCAAGCTACGTATGCCCCAGGGCAGATTGAATGAGAGAAAATATTTCCTCTCCAACCGTGTCGTGGAACCGTGGAATAATCTGCCCGAGACGACTGTCATGCCGACACTGGGTATTGAGGGGGAAAACCGATCAAGCCTTTAGGACGACTTACCGGGTCTTTGAGTCCCAGCAAAACCACTAAACCACCCCCTCTTAGAGAGAGTCGGCGCAACGACTATCCAAATTTGCGCGCGGGACTATTTTGTTTAGGCGTACAGTACGTGATCTATCTCGTGAAACTTGATGAAAGAAACTGATATGAGAATTTGCGGACACCATAACCATTGCGTATTTTGCTCACTCGCCCAGCCTCTTCAAGTGAAAGCGCTTTATTCATGCAGAAGAAGGTGTCTGAGAAATTTTATTAAGCTAAATCTTCATAGATTTGAGTTAAAATGGACGTTGCCATATATTCGGGCAATGTTCTATGCTAGTGCCTGTTCTGGACTTCGGTTACGAACTTGAGCCTGTATGGGTGAGTCCTCAAATGTGACCCGCACGGGCATTCACATGAAAAAGAACGCCCCAACACTCACAACTTCAGTATATGCCTTCAAAAAGTGTCTTTTTTGAGTTTTTAATCAACACACGATAAAGGATCAGCATTTATGGGTAATTGATTCAAAAGGACGGAAGCCATGAAATATTCAGCAAAATTTAAAGTCTGATCTGAAACTGTACATAATCCAGAACAAATAAAAATGCAAATTAATTTCGTAGAAGAATGGGTCCTGATATGTACACAAAATGGCAAGTTTACGGTCACATTTGTCAATTCCATTTAAAATATTAGTTAACATGTATCCTCAGGAAAGGTTTTATTTCAGTGACGTCTCTATCGGCGTAATCAAGTGAAGTCCCATTTGCTACATTTAGCCGCATCTCAATCAATGTAAATGCGTAACAAATACAATGAATTCTCTTGAAGCCGTTTTGAAATCTATACGCAGAATGGAGGCTGTTGACGAGTCGTCATACCCGGCATCACACTAATTCTCGAGAGATGTTTAATTGCAAAAGTCGATATGATACTATTTTCAAACATTATTATAATTTGCTTTCACATTTTCTCTGTTTTTCCATGGATATGCCTTCTATACATTTGAAACTGAAGTCCGCTTGATTACAACCCTGTTTGAGTTTTCGGAACGATCGCTTTTCCAAAAATGGATTTTCTTAAAAAATGTAACGTTATTTTTAGTGTTTCATTACGTTTTCGATTTCCTCAAAGTTGTTCGTTATTAATGGAGATACTGGGTCCATGCGATTGTGTCGGCTTGGCGGTTAATAGCAATTATTCATAAATGTTGACGTCTTTCATCAGTTAGGACACCTAATGTATGTCCCAACACACCCCTATATACACCTACTTCATCTGGCACATGGATCCTGACTCAATATTTCCTCAAGGATTCAACTCTTTTTGAGGACGAAATGTGCGATATGATTATCCGACCAGTCATGTAGATATACTGGTTTATATTGACGAGCGCTCAGTCAGTTAGTTCTCTTCTCGGAGTCGGGAAACGGTTATTCCGGTTTCTGTCAGTCAGCATTTTATGCATGAGTTATTCCTCCTTAGGCCACAAATTACTTGATCCGCAGAACAAGACTGAAAGCCTACAGTCTGTCCTGCAATGGGGACAGACCGCTGAAGGCCACACACGATCGTGGACGAAATCCACCATCAGAAGACGAAGATGTGATCACTGGGAAAAGAATTTTATTGGCCTGACATTTCGGATTCTCACTCGAATCCATCATCAGAGACAGTGTACCATGCGGCACTTTGTCTGCGGGCATTATGGCTTTCGTGACGTCTCTCCGAACGCGATTCGTGGGTGGTTCAGTTGATGAAGAGGAGTCAATCACTGAGGTAGGCTAAGTTTGCGTTCGACATTGCTGACACTCCTACGCATGCGAAGTCCGAGAAGCCCCCATCAAGGCCTAGTGCATTCTCTGAAGACCAGATTGTGTGTGGCACGCGCAGACGGCTGTTCAGCCCGATTCCGTCTGCGAAGGTCTTGTCATCAGGCTCGGACAGGTGGGTGAAAAGACTGTGTGCTAGTCAAAACTCTACGCTCCCTACACTGTGGGGTGTATGGTGGGCAGCGTTATCCGCGGTGATCGAACTGACGTGTAAAGCGTGTCCACATTGGGTGGTGCACTTGGACAGCTGGTTACGCTGGCCAGTCGATTGACCGCCTAACGGCCGCCTTGATGTGTCGCGATCTCCTCATTCCTGCCGCTAGCAA